CTAGAAGAAACGGATAAATTCCTAGAAACATATAATCTTCTAAGACTGAATCAGGAAGAAACAGATAATCTGAACAGACTGGTTACTAGTATTGAAATTGAATTGGTAATCAAAAAACTCCCAACATACAGAAGTCCAAAACCAGATGGCTTCACAGGGGAATTCTACCAAACATTTAAAGAAAATGGAATACTTATCCCCAAACTATTCCAAAAAATTGAAGAGGAGAAAACACTCCCAAACTTGTTCTATGAGGCCAGCATTACCCTGATACCAAAACCAGACAAAGACACTACAAAAAATGGAAATTGCAGGCCAATTTCTCTGATGAATATAGATGCAAAAATCCTTAACAAAATATTAGCAAACCAATTCAAAAATGCATTAAAAAGGATCATAAACCATGATCAAGTGGGTTTTTATCCCAGGGAGGCACGGATGGTCCAACATCTGCAAATAAATCTATGTGATACACCACATTAACAAAATGAAGGATAAGGGGATTGATCAAGATGGCAGAGTAGGAGGACATGGAACTCATCTATCCCCATGAACACATCAAAAATAAATCTACATGTGGAACAATTACCACTGAAAGCTAACTGGAAATTGGCAGAAAGACTCCTGTACAACCAAGGCTATAAGAATGAACAAAATGAAGGATAAAAGTCACATGATCTCTCAATAGATGCAGAAAAAGCATTTGACAAAATTCAGTATCCATTCACAATAAAAACTCTTATCAAAGTTGGTATAGAGGGAAATTTCTCAAGATACTAAAGGCCATTTATAACAAACCCACCTAACATCATACTCAATGGGGAAAACTAGAAAGCTTTTCTTTCTAGATCACGAAGAAGACAAGGATGCCCACTGTCACCATTTCTATTTAACACAGTATTGGAAGTCCTAGCCATAGCAGTCAGTCAAGAAAGAAAAAGTCATCCAAATTGGACGGGAAGAAGTAAAACTATCATATTTGCAGATGACATGATACTATATATAGAAAACCTTAAAGTCTTCACCAAAAAACTTTTAGAATAAATGAATTCAATAAAGTTGCAGGATATAAGATTAATATACAGAAATCTGTTGCTTTTCTATTCACTAATAATTAACTATGAAAAAGAGAAGCAAGAAAACAATCCCATTTACAATCGCATCAAGAAGAATAAAATGTGTAAGAATAAATTTAACCAAGGAGGAGAAAGACATATACTTTGAAAACTATAAGACATTGATAAAAGAAACTGGAGATGATATAAATAAATGGAAAGGCATCCTATATTCATGAATTAGAAGTACTATTGTTAAAATATCGGTACTACCCAAAGCAGTCTACAGATTTAATGCAATGCCTATCAAAATACCCATAACATTTTTCAAAGAACAAGAACAAATAAATAATCCTAAAATTTGTATGGAACCACAGAAGATCCCGAATAGCCAAAGCAATCTTGAGAAAAAAGAACAAAGCTGGAGGTGTCATGCTCTCTGACTTCATACGATACTACAAAGCTATAGTAATCAAAGCAGAATGGTATTGGCACAAAAACAGGTACATGGATCAATGGAACATCATAGAGAGCCCAGAAATAAACCCATGCAATATGGTCAATTAATCTATGACAAAGGAGTTAAGAATATACAATGGGGAAATAGTCTCTTCAATAAGTAGTGCTGGGAAAACTGGACAGTTGCATGTAAAAGAATGAGATTAAAAGATTTCTTCACACCATAAAAAAAAAAAACCCTCAAAATGGATTAAAGACCTAAATGTAAGATCAGAAAGTATAAAATTCCTAGAAGAAAACATAGGCAGTATAATATTTGACATAGGCCTTAGCAATATTTTTTTGGATTTGTCTCCTTAGGCAAGGGAAACAAAAGCAAAAATAAACAAATCGGACCTAATCAAACTTAAAAGCTTTTGCACAGTGAAGGAAACCGTCAATAAAATGAAAAGGCAACCTACTGAATGGGAAAAGATATTTGCAAATAATGTCTGATAAGCAGTTAATATCCAAAATATATAAACAGTTCATACAACTCTATACCAAAAAAAGCTAAACAACCCAATAAAAAAAAAGGGCAGAGGACCTGAATAGGCATTTTCCCAAAGACGACATACAGATGGCCAGCAGGCACATGAAAATACAACATCAACTAATTGTCAGGGAATGTAATTCAAAACCACAATGACCTCCTACACTGTTCGTGGGAATGTAAATTGGTGCAGCCACTATGGAGAACAGTACGGAGGTTCCTTAAAAAACTAAAAATAGAGCTACCATATGATCCAGCAGTCCCACTCCTGGGCATATATTCAGAGAAAAACCATAATTCAAAAGGATACATGCGGGCTTCCCTGGTGGCGCAGTGGTTGAGAGTCCGCCTGCCGATGCAGGGGACACGGGTTCGTGCCTCGGTCCGGGAAGATCCCACATGCCGCGGAGTGGCTAGGCCCATGAGCCATGGCCGCGGAGCCTGTGCTCCACAATGGGAGAGGCCACAACAGTGAGAGGCCCGCATACCACACACACACACACAAAAAAGGATACATGCACCCCAATATTCAATACAGCACTATTTACAATATCCAGGACATGGAAGCAACCTAAATGTCCATCAAAGGAGGAATGGATAAAGCAGATGTGGGAGATTGGGGAAGATGGTGGAAGAGTAAAACGCAGAGATCGTCTTCCTCCCCACAGATACATCAGAAATACATCTACATGTGGAACAACTCCTACAGAACACCTACTGAACGCTGGCAGAAGACCTCAGACCTGCCAAAAGGCAAGAAACTCCCCACGTACCTGGGTAGGGCAAAAGAAAAAAGAGTAAACAGAGACAAAAGGATAGGGACGGGACCTGCACCAGTGGGAGGGAGCTGTGAAGGAGGAAAGGTTTCCACACACTAGGAGCCCCTTAGCGGGCAGAGACTGCGGGTAGCGGAGGGGGAAGCTTCGGAGCCGCGGAGGAGAGCACGGCCACAGGGGTGCGGAGAGCAAAGCGGAGAGATTCCCGCACAGAGGATCGGTGCCGACCGACACTGATCAGCCCGAGAGGCTTGTCTGCTCACCAGCCGGGGCGGGCGGGGCTGGGAGCTGAGTCTCGGGCTTCGGTCAGAGCGCCGGGAGAGGACTGGGGTTGGCGGCGTGAACACAGCCTGCAGGGGGTTAGTGCACCATGGCTAGCCGGGAGGGAGTCCGGGAAAAAGTCTGGAGCTGCCGAAGAGGCAAGAGACTTTTTCTTCGTTGTTTCCTGGTGCGCGAGGAGAGGGGATTAAAAGCGCTGCTTAAAAGAGCTCCAGAGACGGACATGAGCCACGGCCATCAGCGCGGACCCCAGAGACGGGCATGAGGCGCTAAGGCTGCTGCCGCCACCAAGAAGCCTGTGTGCGAGCACAGGTTACTATCCACAGCCCCCTTCCGGGGAGCCTGTGCAGCTCGCCACTGCCAGGGTCCCGGGATCCAGGTACATCTTCCCCGGGAGAACGCACGGCGCACCTCAGGCTGGTGCAACGTCACGCTGGCCTCTGCCGCCGCAGGCTCACCCTACATCCGTACCCCTCCCTCCCCCCAGCCTGAGTGAGCCAGAGCCCCCGAGTCAGCTGCTCCTTTAACCCCGTCCTGTCTGAGCGAAGAACAGACGCCCTCCGGCGACCTACACGCAGAGGCGGGGCCAAATCCAAACCTGAGCCCCGGGAGTTGTGCGAACAAAGAAGAGAAAGGGAAATCTCTCCCAGCAGCCTCAGAAGCAGCGGATTAAAGCTCCGCAATCAACTTGATGTACCCTGCATCTGTGGAATACATGAATAGACAAGGAATCATCCCAAATTGAGGAGGTGGACTTTGAGAGCAAGATTTATTATTTTTTCCCCTTTTCCTCTTTTTGTAAGTGTGTATGTGTATGCTTCTGTGTGAGATTTTGTCTGTATAGCTTTGCTTTCACCATTTGTCCTAGGGTTCTATTTGTCCGTTTTTTTTTTCTTTTTAAAAAAATTTTTTTCTTAATAATTATTTTTTATTTTAATAACTTTATTTTATTTTATTGTATCCTCTTTCTCTCTTTCCTTCCTTCCTCCCTCCCTCCCTCTCTTTCTTTCTTTCTACTTTTTCTCCCTTTTATTCTGAGCCGTGTGGATGAAAGGCTCTTGGTGCTGCAGCCAGGAGTCAGTGCTGTGCGTCTGAGGTGGGAGAGCCAACTTCAGGACACTGGTCCACAAGAGACCTCCCAGCTCCACGTAATATCAAACGGCGAAAATCTCCCAGAGATCTCCATCTCAACATGAGCACCCAGCTTCACTCAACGACCAGGAAGCTCCAATGCTGGACATCCTATGCCAAACAACTAGCAAGACAGGAACACAACCCCACCTATTAGCAGAGAGCTGCCTAAAATCATAATAAGTCCACAGACACCCCAAAACACACCACCAGACGTGGACCTGCCCACCAGAAAGACAAGATCCAGCCTCATCCATCAGAACACAGGCACTAGTCCCCACCACCAGGAAGCCTACACAACCCACTGAACCAACCTTAGCCACTGGAGACAGACACCAAAAACAACAGGAATTACGAACCTGCAACCTGCAAAAAGGAGACCCCAAACACAGTAAGATA